GGCGGTCACAGTGTTCCATGCTCTCCATACCAGCCCCTTGTGCAGCCTAGATTTTTCTTCTAGTTTTACAAGGATTGGTTCGAAAGATCTGGCTGTGGCGAGTCCCTGGTCGATCTTGTCTGAGTCTTCCCCGGGGAAGGTGGGGATTCTGAAAACTCCTAAGGGGGAGTCTTCGAATACGCCTTCTCTGATTGTCTTGCCCAGTGTTCGGTGGTCTCCCGCGGTCAGGAAGGCGAAAGATACATCTGTGGCTACCTGCCACTCCCCGAACATCTTTCTGTAACGGATGGGGACCAGGGGTCTAACTGGTTTGATGGTTCTGCGATCTGAGGTAGCTTTCTCAGTGACATGGGGGGCCTCGTTGCCTGCCACGTTTTGGATGGTGCAATATTCTTTTATGTGTTTTTTTTTATATTCCATGTTTAGATCAAACAGGCATTTTGTATGAGCAGCGACAATGGCGATCTCCTGTTTGAGAGATCGCTGCTCGTTGCCATTTCCTAGCGTTCTCTGATTGTCTTGCCCAGTGTTCGGTGGTCTCCCGCGGTCAGGAAGGCGAAAGATACATCTGTGGCTACCTGCCACTCCCCGAACTTCTTTCTGTAACGGATGGGGACCAGGGGTCTAACTGGTTTGATGGTTCTGCGATCTGAGGTAGCTTTCTCAGTGACATGGGGGGCCTCGTTGTCTGCCACGTTTTGGATGGTGCAATATTCTTTTCTGTTTTTTTTTTTATATTCCATGTTTAGATCAAACAGGCATTTTGTATGAGCAGCGACAATGGCGATATCCTATTTGAGAGATCGCTGCTCGTTGCCATTTCCTAGCGTATCCGTCGTGCTTTTCCTGGATCTCTTGATCCTGCCCTTTGATGGTTTCCACTTCTTCGGTACCATGTCTCTGATTGGGTCCTTGTAGGCCTGAGCTTCTGCACTGGACCCGGACTCTGAGCTCGAGTTGTCTTTCTCCCTCTTCTTCTCGTGATACCTGAAGGTGCTGAATTCTGACAACTCACTCTGTTCTTTCAGGATGTCGTAGGTGTTCGTGGATGTGTGGATGCTTGCTACAGGACTTTTGCTGCTCCGGCCTGTCTTCTCCTGATGCTTCATGCATGCCACTTTGATGTCGAATTCTTTCTCCCTGTCGTTTCTGGCTCTTTCCAGGTATTCCTGCAGCCAGGCAATGGGGGAATCTCCCTGTTCTTTCGGTTTGCCTTCCCTGTCGCCCTTGGAAGGGGATATGTCCATTCCTCTGTGGGTACCGTCCTAATCTGTTGTTGGGCTGAGGTCTGATTCAGTCGGTGTTACCTGTGAGCTTTGTGTGTCATCCGGGGGGGTTCCCTTTTTCGTTGAGCTGTCTTTCTTTTTTTTTTTTCCGCTTGGGGTCTCGGTGTTCTCCTTTTGTGGGCAGGCCTGTCTCTTGAGGGAGGGGTCGGTCTGTAGGGTGCGTCCCTCAATGATCTGTTTGGTTGTGTCCAGGATGTCGGTGTCCTCTTCCCGCTTGGTGAGGGCGTCTGCGGTCTGCTGCCGGATTGACTCAAGGTCCCATAACAGGTCTTCGTGTTTCGTTTCTTCTTTGATCGCGCGGGAATCCACCACAGGGTCTGAGTAAATTTTCCCTGGGATTCCTGTTATCTTCTTTGCTCCCACGCGGTGCCATTTGTTGTCTGATGGTGGAAAATGTCCGGCTGTTTGATTGTCAGGGTCGTGTTCGTATATCCATTTTGGTTCTGGGATATTATCGCTGAAGACCCAGCCAGCGTAGTCTGGGTCATTGACGAACCAGATCCCTTTGGCCTCTTCAACTTCAACGAGCATATTCTGTCTCAGTTTTTTTTGTTCGGGGGAGCGTGGGCATTTGGGATCTGTTCCCAGGTGGCCTCTTTCTCTACACCTGAAGCAGATTGGCGAGGCTTTGGTAGACACTGTTACTGACGTGACTTTGTCTCCAATGAGACATTGCCACTCTTCGGGGAACACCGGGGGGTCATCAGTCAGTACCTCCAGGATTGCTGTTACGGAATCGCAGTGGGGTGCTTAGAAGTCGGGTGTGGGGAGGACCCATTTTAGCACTTTGTTTGCGGGGTATTTGACTTCCAACCGGTCCTTAATCAGGGGATAGCCTCTGGGTGGGATGTTGTCAAATTGTACCCAGAACTGCTCCCTCATCAGTCGCTGTTTGTAGGAGGCAGCTGGTGAGACTTCAGCTCGCTGGGCTGTCTCCGGTTTCCAGCGTGAGAGGGTGCAGACAGATCCATTGCAGTTCAAGGTTTTGCATTTCTCCAACATGTGCGTTGCTTGATCTGCGTCTTTAAAGACCACTATCATCATGGTTCTACCCAGACCAAGCAGGGAGAACTTGTCGACCTCTGTTTTGATGTTCTCATGTTCTTGGATGGTTTTCACCATCCATTTTCTTT